TAGAATACGAAAACATTGGTGAATGCCACAAATTCTCCTAAATCACTCGTACGCWCTATTTAAGAACAAATCTGTGCGTACGAACGGTTCTTGCATGAGGCCCAATGTGTGAAACAACAAATATTCTAGATTTTAACAAAACAATATAAAACTCAAAATCAAGTTAAAATAAATAAAATTACCAACCACATTTTTAAAAGTTGTGAACTAGCTTTGTAGCTCTGCTTTTGCGTTTGGTCATACAGGTCTAAAAGAAAACTTCAAAATAAGAATAAAGGTGCAGTATCCAAAGTTTTTAGTAGTCAGGAAAACTCAGGCTGGTTCAGGTTTCTGCCTTGTTCACGTCACCTCTGTGTGGCCGCTGTGCGCTGCGTGATGTAACGGCGTCCTTCCTGCTCTGTCAGTAACATCCAGACTGCATACATGTGGGATCAGAGCTGCAGAACAACCTGTGGCCCAGTTCACAGCCGCCATGTGTAAAGGGCTCTGCCAGAATTTGTCCCGAGCATTGACTTCTGCTTTGTGCTTCAGCAGCAGCTCCACAGCCTTCTGTAAGGATAAAAACGCAATCCAACTAAAAAAACATCTGGTTGTCACCCCTCAATTGTGAGTTTGTTTTATAACATATAAATATACTTCATTTCGTGAAGCTGCTGCTCGATGTAAAGGTGTAAGCATGCCCTGGTCCTTGGCATTGACATGTGCACCTGTAGTAAAAGCAGAAATAAGCTTTACAACAGATTCACAAGATTTATGATAAGATAAAACTTCAATGTTTGTTTGTTTTACCTGAACTCATAAGTATTTCCATAATGTGAACATTGCCCAAATAAGCAGCAGCATGAAGGGGTGTGCTTTGTTCTTGGTCCTAAATATCAAGAGAGTGGAAATACAAATTAAACATTTGAGTGGCAAAAACCTTGTTTTTACTATCTGGGAGCACTACTGTAGTAAAGACTACTGACTAATAGTTTACCTCTAGTGTTTATAGTTTATCTTAGTATCCATTATTGCATCATACATGACCCGTCACACTGAGGATTAAGTCACATGCAGCGTAGTGAGATTTGGCAGAGATTTTGCATCTTATCTGTGGGTCCCTTAAAGAAAAGGTCTGAAATATAATCCTAAAGATGTTTTAAAGCACTCTTTAAAGCCGTGCCAACAGATAACACGATTTTGAGCAGAAAACCTCTAAATGTTTGCTACTTGTCCTGCATGATAGAGAAGCTATCAGCTGGGACCAGCTGGGAAATCACAATATCCAAATATGGTTTGAGGTATCTGCTCTGAAATTATGTAAAGAAGTTGTTATAAGAAAATGTTAAAAATAAGATTTAGACTCATTGTCCAGGGGTCATTTCAATTAGCAAGAGAAATCAACCCTTATGTCTATAACCACTCATGTTAGGTATTCAACTGTAGTAGGAAGATGAAGATGTGCTTAGTTTAGTTTGACTAAATGAGACTTAATCCCCAATTTGATGTGATGAGTCACATATGTTAAGATAGTTGTGCTGTAAATTATTTTAAAGCTCTGTTTCCACACATTTCAGTGTTTCGTGTCAAATAAAAACTCAGGGAGTGATCACCTTTTCATCATTGTCATTATTCAGATGAATTCAGTTAGTGGAACTGAGGAGTGGGGTTAAAATATTGTACAGGTACACAATGTGGCCATTACATTGTATATCTGTATTCAACTACCATCCATATTTGTGTCATTATCTTTGAGTCAAATTCTGGTGTACAGGCATAAATTTATCTTATGACAACTAAACAATGAATGTGAGCCTTGTATTAGTGGGCAATTGGTAAATGCTTGTAATGCTTCTTGAAAGCCACAGTAGCCACGTATACAATATACCTTAACTTCTGATGTGACTGCATCCAGTTTGGTGGTTTCTATCAGACATTTTGCATTAAGTATCAAAAACAGACAGTTTACTTAAACATTCATTCATGTGACTTTGCTTCTTGCAGACATTCAGAGCACCTGCAGCAGGGAGCATACAGAAGAGGGACGACTGAACCATGTTCAACCAAGTTCAATACATTTAAATCTAAATGACAGTACCTGTGCATTGACATCTTCATTGTGCTCCAACAAAAACGTCACATCTTCAGCGTTTTGGCTGAATATGGCCTGAACCAGTGGAGACTGAAGAATTTGATGCAGTGCAGGTGAAGAACACATGAGGAAAGTAAATTAAATCAGTTCACTTTTAGATTTCTCAGATTTGTGCAGAAAGCAAGAAACAGTCTCACAAGGGAAATGCAAGCTAGGTTTTTGATTTATTACTAAACGTTATCAGCAACAATTGAGTCTAAAAAGACATATTTTTCTCCCCATGGTAAGAAATTTGTGGTTAAACTTGTAGAAAACATTCTGCGTCGTGTAGCTAACATGACCAGCATTAGAATAAGTTTTCTTGTGTTATTTTAAGACCACAGAAAAAGCGTTGTTTACTACCTGGTCCTTGATATTTCTTAACTCCATGATCAAATCACTTAGGAGGCACCTTCATAAAGAGTTGGTTTACATTTAACAACATATCACAAAGTTGCAGCTAGTTAGCCTAGCTTTAGCCTTTTAGCAACCATCTAGCCTGTTTGATGAAGTTGTGAAATATCGCGAGAAGAGGCTAAACGCGATTTGCGTGGTTATTAACTTTTTTTTTTTTATCTTAGATGATCAAGGATAAAGTTGTGTTTTGTATAAAAAATATTAGTTGTGAAAGCTATTTACTCTTTTTGGTTTATACAATAAAGAATATTTGTAAATTTGACAAAGTTATTTAAAGGAGCCAGGCTTTCTTGTAATCTTTAAAGTGGTTTTGTTTACCTGTTCTTCAGGATTTCAGAGTTTTTGAAGTTGTTGTTTTACTAGTATGTAAAGTTTTTCACATGTTTTGTACAAAGTTAAGTGACAACAAACAAACAAACAAACAAACAAACAAACAAACAACATTCATCTGAAAATTATTGAAACCAACTTCATGCCCTCTACACGGACCGCTTCATTTTCATTCCGACCTACGCGAGCCGTACACCCTGTAGGCGTATTGGATAGGCTCTTCGGCAGATAGAGCAGATCCACATACATACATAAAGCGGACCCACTTCTGACGGAAGACGAGCAAATCAACCAATCAGAACKGGACAGGGATAACGCGCATGCGTAGTGTGCGTTGAAGCCGCTCAGCGCCYCACGACTTTGGCAGGCTGTAGCTTGAACAGTTTCAGCTATCTTTATGTATCAAATGGTGTCATTTTAAAAGCAGCTTCAATATTCATCACGAAAACAATTGTTCAGACCTCCCAAAAAGTTGACACAGGTAAGAGCCTTTACTTATTTAGGTCACGGGTAGCGTTTGCATTGCTAACGAGACAGTTAGCTTGTCTTGATTGTGACTCCATACACGCAGTGGGACTCTTTATTACACCATGATGGCTTTTTTTATTGAGTTTACAGCCTTTAAAATATTGATAATTGCTTTGTTCTAAAGCCAAATTTCCTATCTGACATTTCTAGTCATATTTTTAGGTAATCTAAACAGTACTATCTGCTGTCATTTTTACATTCAGCTTGGATTTTCTTAAACTATTACACTGACACTGTTTTAGCATGAAAAATAATGACAAAGAATTTATTGCTAACAAAACTACATTTTTATAATATTTGGTAAAAAAAAGTTTTGAACAGCTTCTTTAAAATGGTTAAATTTTCTGAAATAATGCATAATATCCCRGAACAAACCCGAGACATCCATCATCTTATGAACCTTTGAAATACATAATATTGTGCTAGAAACGTCCCACTGGTCAGACTTTGTTTATACTCAACACTTCAAAGATTAAACTGTAACTTCATTTATTTCTCTTTCAAGTTGTCAAAAAAAACTGAAGTATTAGTTTATAAAATTGATTCAGATCTCTCAAGAGTGTAAGGGAATCTTAAAATGTTACTAGAGGGATATAAATAGTTTTCTACTGTTGACACTAAGACTGTTAAAAAAATGCCTGCTGCTATATTCTTGTCTAACCTTTTTATACATTATTTTACTATAATAATTTGAGTGAAATTTGAACAATAGATGATTTATTTCCCTATGTTCCAGAGTTTTGCACAAGTCACGGCTCATTTTATATCTATGGTTGTACCATTGATACTGATACAAAATGCTAAGTGAAATTGTTCATACCCAAATTGCCCCCTCCCCTCCTCCTCCTCTTCTTCAACCTCTTGTTTGACCATCAACTAGATTGAACAATAGATTTGATCATGGAGGTGATTATACAGAGGCTGTTATGTTTGGTGATTCAGAAGAATTGTCCACTTGATTTGAAAATAACAGGATTTATTTGGGTTTATAGTAAGTTTTCTGTCATATATCACTGTTAACTACTTGGAAGAAAATATTTGCATTTGTCATGTTAGAATCAGACATAACATTTCAAATCTTTTTTTATGTCTTTACCTATTTACGTTCCCATTTATAAGAGTCCCAGTTTGAGGGGTGGGACATCACATGCAGTTTGTCAGTTTGGGAGGTGGCATAGATGTAAGTGATACTGTGAAACCTGCTTTGTGCAGATTACGTCTTATTCATGTTCACCGAGGCTTTTTGGGAAGTTGGATGAATGAATGACTAAGAGATCTAATGTCCTAATAGACCAGTCACATTACAGTGTGAGCTTAGTAAATCCAAGTTTAGAACATTTAGTAAAGTCAAAATGAAACATTTTTATTGATGCAAGCTCATCTTTCTTGGTGTACTATTGTTAAACTAGAAGGTCACATGGAGAGTGTCCTCATCCAAGGACATCCTGTTCTGCAACTTTAAAAAAAAGTGGATTTATACCAGCATTTAGAGTATTTGTAACTTCTCGTTTACTCTTAAAGATTTTAGAGTTTGCTAAAGCAGTTTTCCTTTAACGTTGAATTAATCTAAACAGAAAAGGAAACTAAAACCCTGATTACATCCTTCTGCCTTGACTGGAAGAGCTTGTTTACAGATTTTTAGCCTGTTACGGTCAGTCTTTAGCTAAAAGGTGGCTGCATTAGACTTTCTTAAACTTCCACATAKATGTTGCTCTTTAAAGAATTTGACAAGATGGTTGTTGACACACAGATAAGGTAACACGATCCACGAGAGTAGTCCAGGTCACGCTGGACCAGGAACAATGCATACCAGTTTGTCAGACATGAAAAGATTAAAAAATGGTAGACTAAATAAAGCTGATTTTGAGCCAGGTGTCTTCCAGTCAGGCTGATGGGAAATCMTTTTAGGAGTAATAAGCAAATTTTACTCATGATTATAAGAAGACCAATTGGAGAATGCATTTAGACAAAAATAGTGCAAGACGAAGTSACAAGTGTCTCTATGCTAAAACTGCATCTATGAGTAGCGAAGCTGAACAGGAACAACTTGATTATTGCTGTGGGTTGGAAGGGAAAGGACAGAAAGCTGCACAGCTTCAGTGTGGTGTCAGGGCAAAGACAGCCTCCTATCAGCAGCATTGATTTATTTGTCAAACAGATGCTTGTGGTGCAAATGGACTTTAGGTGCTAGCAGGGCAAGATTAAACACCTCTTCGTGTTGAACTTTGTTCTGAGGCAGCAGCTYAACAAATTATTGGAAGCCAGCATTAGAAAGAGTCGGGCAACTTTTTACCTTCATGGTGATGTGTTGGGAGCACGGAGAGGGGGGTGGTCTCTGGATTACAATGTCAACAGAATACAAAGTAAAAGATGAGCCTTAGTTTAGGATCATTATTTACAGTGCTGCTGTTGCACAGGAATACCACACTGTGGCAGAATACTTGATTTTTTTCCAGTCTTTAGTAACAGTGTGTGATGACTGTGGTCACATGGGAGCACATGAAAAATAGTTTGGTGTAACTAAGTTATAAAGAATTTAAGTTTCCTGTGGCCCAGTAATCACTAAGTGTCATTCTAATGGCATTTTCACCTATAACTACACATATGCTGTTCTGTTTCTTAATGTCACCATTTGAATTGATGATTTCAGCCTTAGTCATGAGTTATGACTTGTTTAATCATACAAAAAGGTTGAAATAATATTTATTTTTGGAATATATTTAAACTTAGCACTTCCTTTTTATAGTAGTGGAAAAGTTGTTCCACCTTTAAAAGGATAGTTCACATCTTTTCAAGTGYGGTTCTGTGGAAAGCTGTTTATAAAGAGCTTTTAAGATAAGCCCAGACTGTAGAAATAAAATGTATTATGTCAGATGACTTTCTAATGGCTCGTCTGAGCTGTTGGCTTGTCAGTTTGTTTAAATTAAAACTGTTTCTCCAAACTGAGATCATGCAAAGAGCTGTTTACAGGTAAGATATTGATTGTTRATAACCTTTCTACAGAACCCAATTTCAAAAGARGSAAATYGCCACWTTTAAGGGAACATATGCAAAATCCACTTTTTCAGCTGTTAAATGCTTTTTYTTGTGTYTTTGGAGTTTGTAGGAGTTTAGAAATTTTGAATTTAATCTCCCAGTGCTGCGRAGATATCTGATATTCTGTTTGGGTCYTACTTTTCAGCCCGTTCAGTTTTATCTGTTTTCTATGATGTTTTCTGAACTATACGTCAGTATTTGCGACAGAATTTCTAAATAATGTCTGAACTTACCAAATGCAATCTTCACTCTCCTCTGGCTGTGGGTCAGACTCTGGCTGCAACATGTAAGACTGGATGGACGTCTTCTTTTGTTGACATCTTTTAATTCATTTGTAAATAAAATATTTCTGCGCAGCTAGACAACCACAAACCCCTCTATCAAGCTAAAATAGACTGTCCTGGAAGCTGAAGGGGGGTGTGTGAAACGACTGGATTAAGAGACAGACTCGAAACGAGTTGATCTGAGACACGCCTCAGAAAAGGGGTGAAAGAGGGGCTTGTGGAGTTACAATAAGAAGGAATTCAGAACAAAGCATTACAGTTCCAGTTTATATTGACCCCAAATGAATGACTTACATGTGAAAAAGAAGGATTTAAAAGCATCATATGTCTACTTTAACGCAGTTATTTTCAAAAGGTGCAGTTTTTTTCCGGATCGTATCCCTGTAAGGAAACCATGATTARAGTTGTTTTATGCTATTCATTAATTATTGCAGAAACTGTGTAGAAATGTGTCACTTATTAAGCTGAGATCATTTGTCTAAAGCACTTGTTCAGCTGAAGGAAGTGGATTTCTGCTGGAAAAGCTGCCTCAGCTCATCCTTATCCTCACAATGGCACCATCATGTGCTTTGGTTTGTGTCGTATCCGCTCAGTGTTATAAAATTGAACTGCTCTGCTTGTCTAAGATTTTTTTTTTATTATTATTTGTTTCCTGCTATCAACGATGAGTTGAGCAGCAGCTGATTTAAAGAAGCGGTGTCCCTTTTCGATCGAGGGGAAAGGATGTGTGTAGCAGAAGTGAAACTTGTGCATCTCGAGATGGACTCAAGACATTTATGTGATGACTTTTGCTTGAATTTCATGTTGCTTAGTCATTATTACAACTTGCAAAAAAGGTTTTTTTTAGGAAGAAATTAGGAAAAAGTAGGTGCACAGTCATGTTGAAATTTAGTTTAGGTTTTTGTTTTGGRACAAAATAGCCTTTAATTTAAGAATTTAAGCATTGGTTTCACATGCAACAACAARAAATAAATGAACAAAATGACATTATTAGCTCCCATTAAATAAAAGTTGGTGTTTTCTTGCAGGGGAGGCTGATATTCATCTCTTSGTCCTGCAGCACGATGACAGATGTACAAGATGGAGACATCCTGGAAGGTAGAGCTTTCTAATAYCTCAAACATCATTTTATACTTCTCRTTTTTTCAACACGTTGACTTATGGCTGCTTAGGTTGCAAAATACCTTTTTTTTTATCAGTGTGAAGTGCACGCTCAGTTACTTCAAACCATAAATGATTGCATCACTGAAGTTTAGAAAAGTCTCATAAATATTCTTCAACCTGGAGTTTGTTTGTTGCRTCAGAAAACTTTAAAAAGTGTCGTTGTTTTCTTGAAAAGACACTGTTCAGCTTCTGTGGGGCTTTTATTGACATTTTGCAGCAGATATTTGCTGTGTTGATTGACTCTGCTTCTYTTTATTTAGTGGATCTTTTTTTTTGCAACACAATGCCAAAATGTCTTTGTGACCTTTACCTTCCCCCTTCCACACACTCACCCCTATTAAAAAAGGAAAAGAAAGGGGCAGAGTCATATAAAGCACAGTCCCTCTTAGGCAACAGTGGACTTTAAGATGAGCAGATGAGCAGTGATTTGAAGATGAATGGAGAAAAGACGGAAGAGTTCAAACTTAGTGAGTAGTGTTTGTTCTCAAACATTTGTCGTGTTAAACAATAATTATAAGACAAGGAAAAGCTCACCTGTGACTTTGAGTGTAATCCCTTTTCTTGATTGTGCTCTCATAACATGTTTTAGTGGAGTCATTGGGTTCAGGATGCGGCTAATTAGAGGTTTCTGCTAACTGAGTTAAACCTGTCATTTTAGATTTATGTTAAATTACTTGTGTGGCAATTTGAAACATGATAAGAAATGAAGCTCTCTATATATGTTTGTATATATGTGTTTTTGTTTTACGTCAAAACTTTGATAAATGCAGCAGTAAATGTTGAAACATTTTAAAACAAACCTTTTTTAACAGGTAGTTTATGCATTTAGTCTTCATATTTTATCGAAATGTCACTTTTGTGAAAGCGTCTTCATTATATATTTTAAGATAAGCATCATCATCATTTAGTTTTTCTTTCAAGTATAATGAAAGGAATTTTGGGGGCTTACAAAGAAATTCCTTAATTGAGAAATGAGATGTGAAATGTCTTTAATGATGAAGAAATGAACGTCAAATTGCCGTCATCTTGTCAGGAATACTATGTCCTGGATGACTAAGATCCTGCACCAGTACTTGATTTACTTCTTCGTTAAATTTTTCCAACTTCCCTAAAATTTCTGCTCTAATCTCAATGAAATCACAACTTCAGAATCGCACAAGAAAACTAACTTTCAGATAGTTTTTTGCTCTTCAGCTCTTTATCACGAGCCGCCTCTCATCGGGAACTAAAGTGTTGCTGATTTCTCTCTGCTGTGATTTCTCCTCAGAGGACTCCGGGCAGGAGAATGGAGTCCAAACGAACCACTACAGCTCCATCTCCCCTCCTGCCTCACCTGTGCTCCAAGAAGAACCCTTCTCCACGTACTTTGAYGAGAAGGTGCACATTCCAGAAGCTCCCAACCAGGTATCGCCAAAGAAACAGATACTTCCAGCAACATAAGCAGAAAAAAAAAAGTTTAAATCAGTGTAGACACAGAACAGCATATTTTTGTGGTTGTTAAAATGAATGAAACTCTGCTTTCCTTCACTCAGATGTTCAGTTTCCGTAAACTCTGGGCCTTCACCGGACCGGGGTTTTTGATGAGCATTGCTTACTTGGATCCAGGAAACATTGAGTCAGACCTGCAGTCTGGAGCTAAAGCTGGTTTTAAGGTGGCTTATAAAAACACATTTGTTTACACAGCTAAACAAACTTGGCATTAGTTATTTCAACTCTTTTTAAATCAATGAAATGATGTCTCATTTTCCTTGATGCCRTGATTTTTGCTAGAAATGTTATTTTTGAGTGTTAAAGGGCATTTCAATGTTAACGAGTGGCTTGAAAAAGTCTGAAAACAGTAACTCATCTTGCGTTGAATGCATCCCTCTGCAGCTCCTATGGGTGCTCCTCGGAGCCACCATCATCGGGCTGCTGTTACAGAGGCTAGCTGCTCGCCTCGGCGTCGTCACAGGGATGCATCTGGCCGAAGTCTGCAACCGGCAATATCCCACCGTGAGCACTCCGTTCATCTAGRTTTTTTTTCCTCTGAGTGATCGTTACCTTCTTCCTCCTGTAGTTTATAGTCTGTTATTGTAAATGTTTCTCCTTCAGGTTCCTCGGATCATCCTGTGGTTGATGGTGGAACTGGCTATCATTGGTTCAGACATGCAGGAGGTCATCGGCTGTGCCATAGCTTTTAATCTTCTCTCTGTGGGCAGGTAACGGGTTTTATTCATGCCGGAGAAATCTGCTAATGTGTTGGCGGATTTAAATAAAGTAATTAAATCTGGATTCCTCTCTGTCTCGTCCAGGATCCCACTGTGGGCAGGAGTTCTCATCACTATCACAGACACTTTTGCGTTTCTCTTTTTAGACAAATATGGTTCGTAATGATCCTGAACAAAACATAGAACCTCACTGACTGTTTTTGACTCGTGGTATTTATACTTTGTTAAAATCTCTTCAGGTCTGAGGAAACTGGAAGCTTTCTTTGGCTTTCTGATTACTGTAATGGCTATTAGTTTTGGCTATGAGGTAAGCTTCCTTCACACTGAAAATCTCGTTTAAATCATTACATTTTGCGGCTGCTTAACATTTTTTTGTCACTCCACTTCAGTATGTGCTGGTGAAGCCTGACCAAGGGGAGGTTCTGAAGGGGATGTTTATGCCGTACTGTGCTGGCTGTGGGCCCGTGCAGCTGGAGCAGGCTGTGGGAATAGTGGGTGCTGTCATCATGCCACACAACATCTACCTGCACTCAGCACTGGTGAAGGTTAGAGACGTTGATGCAACAATGTTCACACTTAAAGCGATAAGCTGAATCATCGGTTAGATTGAGCTGCAGTGATGTTGTCCCAGGAGCTCCCTTAATCTTGTTGTTGTCGTCGATTTTCTTTAGTCTCGGGATGTGGACCGCAAAAAAAAGGAGGACGTAAAGGAAGCCAATAAGTACTTCTTCATCGAGTCAACCATCGCCCTCTTCATCTCCTTCCTCATCAACGTCTTCGTTGTTGCCGTCTTTGCTCAGGCCTTTTACGATAAAACCAACATCCAGGTGGTAAGTTTGCAGTTTGACAAACACTGCAGCAGCTTTGTTTGTAAAATAAAGCTGTTTTTTAACAAGCAAATTTAGCAATCAGTGGAAATAAATTAAAATGATGCTAATGTGTTGTAGAATGATATGTGCAACGCGACCGGCAGCCCTCACACGAATCTCTTCCCTCTCAACAATAACACTCTGGAGGTGGACATCTACAAAGGGGTACGGCTGCAACAATAAACCCAGACTGATACATTTTTTGGGGGGCGGTGGTGATTAAATACATTTCAAAATACAGCACACACTTCAGACTGAGTGAAAAATATTTATTAGGGCTGGTTCAAGAATTATACTTCAGCTATTAACATGAATAATTACTGCTGTAATGTGAAAAGTCTCCTTTTTAGGAAGAGAACCTAGAAGAAATCTTGCTTTTTGTTATTTTCATGTGAGAATAAACCAAGAGCTAAACTCATTAACCCACACTCATCAGCCACATCTTGGAAAAAATTACTTAAAATGTCTTCCAACTGCGTGTGCCACCACTTAGACACAGCACTGCTGCACACGATTAAGTTATTAAAAAAAATACATTAACTCATAACCTGACCTTATATCAGGCAAGGGTTAAATAGTTTCCAGAAGCAACAAAACTATTATTATTATGACCCCCAACTATTTGTATTTTTCCAAAAGACACCTATCTATCAAAATATGGTCCTTCTAGCTATATTTGTGTCCTTTAGGGTATAATCCTGAAATAAAATAATTTCCAGTTTTATTAAGAGCTTTAATCACAGAAAATGTGAATCACCTGCAACATCAAAAACATGACTGTATACAGATGTTTCTAGATGAAAGATTTGGTAGATCAGCTTTCTGTTTGCCCCTCAGGGCGTGGTGTTGGGCTGCTTCTTCGGTCCTGCAGCTCTGTACATCTGGGCCATCGGTATTCTAGCAGCCGGTCAGAGCTCCACCATGACAGGAACCTACTCTGGGCAGTTTGTGATGGAGGTGAGGACACCTGCGGGCTGCAGAGTCATGTTTGGCATTCTCTTCTGTGGCCGTCCGTAAATTTTGTCATGTATTTTTCTTTTTGTCTGTACTCAGGGTTTTCTGAACCTGAAGTGGTCTCGTTTCGCTCGGGTGCTGCTGACTCGCTCCATCGCCATCACGCCTACACTGCTGGTCGCCATCTTTCAGGACGTTCATCATCTGACGGGGATGAACGACTTCCTCAACGTGCTTCAAAGCATGCAGGTCAGTACGAGGTGCCGAGGAAGCCCTTAAGCTTCTGTGRTTCAGATAACATCGAAAAATGTTTACCGTTATTTTTCTTCTCACCCGACAGCTTCCATTTGCTTTGATCCCAATTCTAACCTTCACCAGTCTGACGTCCATAATGAACGACTTTGCTAACGGACTGTAAGTGAAACATTTTTAGTCCGATATCATCTTAAAGTTATATAATTGTGCCTCTAACGTAAAATTCATACCCGCTGTAACCAGCTGCAAGTTTCTGTGTCTGAGATATAACTGACCAAATATTTTCAGTTCCCTCTTTTATTTACGCCTCACAGAGCTAATCTGTGCAAACAAACAAACGTACATTCAGCAACAATCTCGTAGATCCTCCTCGGCCTTTCCTTCAGCTGAGAGCGGATTAAAAAGAAAACAGCAGCTCAGTTTCTTAAAGCCGCAGCRCGGCTGTCTCTGCAGGAGGTCCCTCAGTTTTAAGGAAGAGACGCGAGGAAGAGTTGGTCATTATTGCTAATCGCTGCATTTTCTCACCCCAGTTTGTTGTTATTGTCTAATTATGAATCCGAATGAAAAAACGTTCTGTTTTTACCAAAATATGTTTTGATGTTAGATCAGCGTTATTAGAGAGGAAGTGAAAGGTGCAGCAGCTAGTGTGAGTACTTGTTCCCACACTGTTCAGTTTATCAGCGAAGAGGCCAGTATGTGACTGTTTGCTTTGTTTTGTTGTGTTTTGCATAAAACAAAACAAAAACAGTGTGTGGGTTAAAAAGTGTTATTTACCTACTTCTGTTTGTTTTAGATAAACCTCTGGAAATCAGTCGTTTTAATCTTAAAGCAGTCGTTTGCATTGGTTTAATAAACTGTTGTTGTTGTTTTAAGGTTGTGGAAGATTTCAGGAGGCATCGTCATCCTGGTGGTTTGTGCAATCAACATGTACTTTGTGATTGTTTATGTGACCGCCCTGAACAGCGTGCTGCTCTACGTTTTCGCTGCTCTCCTCTCCGTGGCGTATCTGTGCTTCGTCGCCTACCTGGTGAGTTATTTATATGATGCCCTGGAAACTTTTTTTTTTTTTTTTAGGCAGTCTGATTCTCATTTAAAAAGACTTCTTAAAAACCTGAGTTTTWGCATGGATTCATGTAATTTAAAAGTAATGTCAGCATAGGTTTATAAACATTTTCAAATTCAGTGGCATAACGCTGCCAGAGATTTAAAAACCTGTTAGCGCTCAGAGTGATGGGGACAACTCTCAGCTACTACCACACACAATTTTAGCTCAGTATTCWTAACAGTGACTGAGTTACAGCTTTTATGTTTGGCATGATCGAATATCTGTGGCAACTCTCTTGAATTAAATTTACCTTTAAAGGTAATCAGTTGTAGARGTCCAGCCAGTGATGTCTTTARGATAWAAGGTGGTAAAACAACATTAAAARGAARCATTAAGAATTAGATTTTAGGATGTAATTCTACGTATCGGCTCAAGTTTTGAACTAGTGTAATAATGTGAGGTGCAGCACATCCAGTTTAAAAAGACACAACAGCTTCAGGTTAAGAAAATAGACCAGGGCTAATCAATTGGCGGCCAGCGGGCCACATCCGGCCCGCGAGTGACCAAAGTTCGGCCCGCCAATTGGTTCATTCATCTCTTAAGCCCAAACCCCCGATTTTCTACTTTAATTATTTTAAGTTCTTTTAGTTAAACATAGACATGTTTAGTGTCTACAGAAATGTCAGAATCTTGGCTACAAGCTGGTAAAAACCATTTCTATGAACATTCAAGACAGTTAAAACTACAAGTAGTTGAATATAAAACTTTGAAAGTGAAAATAAAATTGGTTTAAAAATTTGGCACGTCAAAGATGTCAAAATATTTTTTGTCAAATATGAGACAGAATGTGTTCTTTTTGTTTCTGATATTGTTTAATTATTACTACTTTTATAGGGTTCTCTATGTTGTATTCATGATTAAATACTAAATAATAGTTGATTAGTCTCCATAGATGBTTGTACATGTMAGCTTTGTAGAGACCCAYTAGAGTACTGTGTGAATGTGTAAATGAGGACACAGATTGTGGTGTAAAGCGCGTTGAGTGTCCTGGATGGATAGAAAAATGCTAAAAAAGTACAGTCCAATTACCATTTACCATTAAATACAGTAAAATAAACTGTTTCAAAGGTAGCAGATCTTTGTAATACTTGGCTTATTCATTTATTTTTTTTCTCCAACCACTTCAGTAGAGAACAGAACTTAATATTAGTTAAGTTACACGAGCAGTGACTTTTTTATACTTGGTTTATTTACATAATGACTTTAGTTGCTAGATGTTCGGTCCCTCAGCTGTTGACCCGCAGTAACTGTGGCCCCCAGAGCAGTTTAGTTGAACAGCCCTGAAATAGACGTTACGTTTCGAATTAATAATTTTAAGCTTATTTACTCATCTGTTAGTTGATGTGATCATTAGCTTGATTCTGGTTATATTGTGCTTTAAATATTCAGATACGTTTAGTTTATTGTAGCAAATCAATGACAAGAAAACAACAGAAAATAKCAATAAAAAATAATTCAATGACGATTAATTGCATCAGATGTAGATAAATCACAGGGTGGACTTCTTCCACTCAGCTTTCATTTTTGTTTAAGAAATGACAGAATTTAGTTTTGTTTGTTTAATTTCAAATATTTAATTGTGTGGTTGCAGAATGGCTGTTTTATTTAAAGCTAAAAAGAACCAAAGTTCAGGCAGAAGTGTTTTAACGTCTCGCTCTCTTCTCGTTGTTGTCTGCAGTCGTGGCACTGTCTGGTAGCCTTGGGGGTTTCCTGCCTGGACTGTGGCAGCAGGGTAAGCAACCGACCTGCAGTGTTCATAGAGGAGCAGTCTGAGTACGACTCCTAGAGCTGAACACGACTCTAACCAGCAGCATATCTCCTCTGGGAGAGACTTGTACACAGCCAGGACTGTTCAGGATCGTTTAGGATCTTGAGCCTGCTCGTATCTCCTGTTGGATTTTTGTAGGGCTGGATATCTGAATTGGCTGCTTTTTAGGCTCGCGAACACGCCAAGATCCCACCAGCAGAACATGTACATGACAGCATCTAACGCTTGAGGTGATTTAGAAGAAACAAGCTGATATAAATACATTTAAACAATCAATAAATGTGCTTAAATTGGGAGAATCTAGCTGCAGTATTCAGTCATGTTTATTATTAACTTGAGCAGTTTTTGCTACAGCAGCATAATCAGAGCCGGTGAACTTTGCCTGAGGGACAAAACCATGAGACATCATCAGGAAAGGGATGAATCAACCAGAAGAGACTAAAATACAGTCTAAACTGTGGCGTCACCACAGCAGTGGTGACCTTCGCTTGTTTCACTTTTTATAAAATGTTTTGTTTAAAGCGCAGTGAGGTCGACTGGTGAGGCTTCCTACGTCCAGCAGAAAACTGAACTTCCTGCTCTGTCAACAGCTCTGATACAGACAGAATCTGTGGCTTTTATTTTCACCCTGCACCTAAAATGTGACTCTAAAATCAGGATCATTTCACTTTTGAGTGACCTTTGTCTCCTCCTGGAGTCCAGTTTGGGTGCTGTGTTTTYAGGAGAACATGTTCTTAATGCTTTAGATAACCTCAAATAAACACCAGCAGTACTCCAATTTTTCAAATATATATACTTTTCTATACCAGACAGCACARCTATCAGGGCCTTTCTTTAACTCGTCATGTTTTGAAGAGTCGTTCTGGTCTCTGTTCTCCATCCTGGAGCCATACAGAGGATAAAACCTCATTTTATGATCAGTCTCACTTCATCTACCTCAACACCCCCTCCTCTCCCCTAACTGTCTGATCTCTGTGTAGCCTCACTGGAGCAGTGTGATTATTCTGTTGATTAATGCATATTTWAAAAAATAAATAAATGTTAGTTATATTTAATACCAAATACAATTTAAAGTTGTGTACTGAAAAGCACCAAACGATATCCAGCCCCGGTGGTGTTTAAAACATCTTGGTCATTGGTTTTATTTTTGTGTTGTAATAAGCTCATTTCTTTACCAACATGTCAAAAAAAAATATCCACGCTAAAGGAGTAAGTTTCAATGTGAAGTTTTGTGTACGTTTGCCACTTTTCTCTTTGTGCAACTTGGGCTGAAGGAGGCGGTTTGCCAGGATGAGGTACATAACTTTTGACTGATTTGTGTTTTTTTCAAACTGGTCTCAGAAATGAAACAGAGGTGATTTCTGAGCGACTGAACCAAGTGGCTGTAAACGTCTGCAGCTCTTTTTTAGTGCCTCATTGATCAGGACGTCAGAACTGGTTGTATTAGAAACATAAATGCGTTCAACTTTATCTTGTTTAGATTTGGAAACATTAGTTAAAAGCTTTAAGCTTCTGTCATCCTGTGAAGTAGTTTCAGTTAAGATTCTCATTTATGGGAGAGGAGGATTACTGATTTCACAAAAAGCTGAACTTTTTTACAGCATTTATATTTATAGAAAAAAGATCTGGATGTGTTCTGGRAATGTACAGATCTGTGCAAAAGTATTGAGTCATTCACTGTTTATATTTAGCTTCCAAGCAGCAAGACTTACCTTTTAATATTTTAGGATTATAGAAAAAGTGTCTTTGATCACTAGTTCTTCTGGTTTCTGAGTGTTTRTTTCTTTSTTTGTTTTTTTGTRAAACCCTCTCACACCATAACTTTTTAGATAAATTATTACTCATAAAGGTTATATTCATAAAAGTCATTAGCATTACTGTATGTATACATCTAAAAGAGACTTTCAATTTTATTTATTCCATTTCAATATACCAGTAGACAGTTTCAGTGTTGTGTTACAGAGTCTAACTCTGACATCTGAACCATTCTGACATTAAAAAAAAACTCCTCCAGTGTTGTGACGACACAAAAACAACCTGGCAAAAAATATTTTGAATTGGATTTTTAAAGACTTTACCTGTTGCCTGACAGAAACATAGTTTGTTCCTATTCATTACTTAAACAAGCAAATAATAATAATAATAATAAAAATAATAATAATGTTTGACACAAAATACAATTTTAGCACAAAAAGTTGTTAGCTGAAAACTCAGTGTAGGATGATGCATTTCTCAGGCCTTTTTTTTTAGGTTTTTGTTTTGTTTTGTTTTTTCCTGTCAGATACTGTTCATGTATTTCTTTATTTAGGACACACTGATCAATATCACTGCATTGCACAGCTACATAACATACAGAAGTCATAAAACACTTACACAAAAAAGTACAACAAAACCACAATAATCAACGCACTTTAAATTACACAGTAAAAAATGGTTAGTTAATTGTGAATAACTACACTATTGATTAGCTTTTAGCCAAAGCTTAAGTTGTGATTTTGATTGATTGATTGATTGATTGATTGATTGATTGATTGATTGATTGATTGATTGATTAGGCTCACAGTATGCTGTGGGCACAGTATGCATGGTCAGATACAAGAAAAAAAAAACTGGAGAACTACTGATCAACATAACTGAAGATAATAAAATATTACTGAAAGTCTGAATCTCTGGAAACAACGTCTAGAAAATATGGGTACTTTATAACTTTTGCACAGTTCTGTGTATATCCYTTTGAGTATTGGCTGAAAAAACTTTAAGATTTCTATGCAACATAATAAGCAGAACTTAGTTTTGTGTTAATATATGAAGAATTATTGTAAATAGAAGCAAAGAAATTTTAGTTTATTTAGACATTCCTTAAAACATGATTATTTTATTAATGCAAAAAACATTTCACAGCCTTGAAAAAAATACTGCAGATTTAATCAATTATTTATATAAAAGCAAATATAATATTAATAACCAGTATAAGATAATCAATATAAGTAATGGGTATTAATTTATGTTGAACCTCTTACCCTAAAGAAGTGATTTGTCCACAACTTTGAATGAATTTGACTTCAGGATAATCTGGGCTCAACTGTTTTTTTTATTTTATTTAATTTATTTTTATTAATGTGTTTACTGTGTTTAATGTGTGTACTGTTCTGTTTTTTATCAGGTCTGTTTTAAGTATTAACCTGCTGTGAACTTTTACTGTAGATCTTTGCAAAGTAGACATTACAGCATATAAAAAAATTGATCAACGTAATGATGAATATTTTATCAGCCAAAAGTAGCAATAATGTCCAGTTTTGTTGTTCTAACTTCCAGCTGTGACTGCGGATGCAGCGTTTTTCTGTTTGACATGTTTTTCATGGAGGTGATTTTATGAGCAGAGCATGAAGAAACGTGGCAGTGGACACAAAGCTGCAAGTTTCAAGTTATTAAATGGAATTAAAGCAAGTAACCGAGCAATATCCAAGTGATGTGAACGTTTTTAAGAAATGAAATGAGAAGTGCAGCAGAGTTTTCTCTCAGGACTTACTGTCACGTTGAGCTCTCTCTTTTATTGTGGCGGGTCTCAAACTTAAATCATCTCTATTTTTACACAACTTTGAGTTCAGAAATACCTCACAGACAGAACTGGAAAAGATGGGTACCGCAAATGTAAAAAAAAAAAAAAAAAATCAACATACTGATGTGTGATCACTGATGTCATGTCGCTTTTCTTTTCTGCTGTTTGAAACTGAAAAAATGAAGCTGTTTGTTGCTCTTGGGTGGAGCAAACCATCTGTCCAAAAATAAAAGATAATTGTAAATTTCTGGACATTTTGTTGGAGTCTTCTGTCTGAACGTAAAGACTGGTGGTCTAGATTTAAACCAACAAAGATGTTAATAAACGAAGGAGGAAGGAGAACAGATTAAGGTTAAAATTAGAGCAAACAAGTAATTTATTTTAAGTTTAATTTGGTAGGTCACACAGGTTTAAAATTTGCTATAATTTTGATTTTACAAAATACAAATGTTATCTAAGAGGGAATTTTTTTCAACCGTGACAGTAAATCTTTTTAAAAGAGAAAGTTTATGTAAATCTTATAAAGAATAAAAAACTGATGGAAAAGTCTAAAAATAAAATGCAAACATGGCATGACGTGTCTGCACATGAGAGATATAAAACAGTTTATATGTGGATAGCAGCTAATTTATTCAAAAAGTGATCAATTATTTTCATTTAACATAAACAGTAAAAACGGAGAAATTTGTGGACTAAAAAGTGGGCACATTTTTAAAAACTTTAAATCAGTTTTGAGCAGATAAATTAATTTGTTCATTGTTAGAAGAAGCAGTGACCAAACTTAAGTAATGTATTATGATTTGCAGTAAAATTACACTTTTTACAACATTTCAATCACAAGTTTAGGTAAAAATAGCTTCATATCTGATCATTAAATTAAATCAGTTGTGACAGTATTTTATTTATGTTGCACCCTTTTGAACCTGCACRACAGTAAACATTTTGTAAACCTTATTTTTATTCTAACATATYAAACATTTATTAAACACAGGCAGTGCAAAATATAAGATGAAGGTTGAAGTTTAATCTAATATTGATGTAGCTATGGCTGCAGAAAAGGATTTATTTCTCATTGCAATATGAAAGTGAGCAGTTTCACAAATGAATCAACTGCAAGACAACATGAAAGATATTTGACAATCAGACAACTTCAGTCCTGAATGCACACAGATGGTTCAGATGATTGTAGCTAAAATGCTAAATAAGAGCTTCATTATGACYGAAAACAAGAGAGGAGCGATGACAATAATAAAATATAACATTTTCTAATATTGTTCACCTTTCAGCTTTTACAACTAACCCCTGGTGTGTTTATCCAACATCTTACTGATGTATTCTTGTGAATGTTTGACTCCACTGACATTAAACCTGATTATAAAACACAGCATCGCATTTGCGTTAAAGTGCTTCATYTCACTAATAATGTGGTTTTTTTTTTCTTGTTTTATCTAAGAGAAAAACTAAAAAATGAACAGAACTGGTTTTAAAAATATATGTTTTCCTTTTTCATTTAGTTTATTTAATGAATGATAAAAATAAAAATGTGAGCTGACAATCTGTTCTATTGTTTCTCTAATAATAAAACCTGTTTGCTGTTTCTTTCAGATACCATTCAGTCTGTCGCGCCACACGGACATCTTCTTACTGAGCGATATGGATTTGGATGCCGGGGTCAACAGATAAAAGGACAACCTGAGTGAAAACGGGGACCACTGACTTTTGGCCAGTATGTTGTCGGTGTTTCAAAGTGTCCTTAAAGTCCACCTGCAGACTTGTAAAACTCAAACTTCAATCAGCAGCCCACATTACAACACTAGAACGAGTGTTTTTTTTCTTTAAAAACAATGTGGACGTCTGTTTCAGCCAATAATCTGCAAACAATGTTACAACAACCTTTAGTTTGTTCTTTTCAGTTTGTTTAAATGGTTTAACCTCATCAGATATTCAGATTATCAGCAACAAAACCCAATCTGTTCCTTTTTATGATCAGTTCTTAATGTGTGGACGCAGCGTGTTTCCAGGCTTTGTGCTTTTGTTGGGGACCGATCAGGTTTTCCATGATTCTAATGTCTTGAAATGAAATATTTATATTTGAAAGACGGTCATTGTAAAATGTAGAGCCACACTGTTTTCAGTTTTAAAGTTGCTCTCATTGGTGCATCACGTGGCCAGTCCCACACTGCAGAAAAAGTCCATCTTACCAAGTTTTAAAACCTTATATCAGCCAAAAAAATCTTTTTGATCTTGTTTTGAGACTGATTTACTTAACAAGAACCAACTGTGTAAGAATAATAATCTTGTTTTCAGAATATGTAAAATTATTTGTCTTGTTAGTCTGAAAATTTGACTCAAATTAAGTCAAAATTTCTGCCAATGGAGTAAGAAAATTTTACTTGGTAAGATTCTTAAAATAAGAAAAAATTGAGTCAAATCAAGTATTTTAATAATCTTACCAAGTGAAATTTC